GAGCTTCTTCCAGGTCTCCCACGTGAGTGCAGGAGCCCAAGCATTTGGACCATCTTCTACTGCTTTCCCAGGCCACAGCAGAGAGCTGGATCGGAAGTGGAGCAGCTGGGACTTGAACTGTCGCCCATATGGGATGCCGGCACTGCAGGCGGTGGCTTTACCCACTACACCACAGCGCTGATCCTGTGCTCCTCTTCCAATCCAGCTCCCTGCTGTGGCCTGGGACAAGCAGTAGATGATGGCCCAAGTGCTTGGGCCCCTGCACCCGCGTGGGAGACCCTGAGGAAGCTCCTAGATCCCAGCTTTGGCCATTGCAGCCATCTGGGGAGTGAACCAGCGGATGGGAGATTTCCCTCTCTCTCTCTCTCTCTCTCTCTCTCTCTCTCTCTCTGTCTCTCTCTCTGTGTGTGTGTGTGTGTCTATAACTCTGGCATTCAAATACATAAGTCTTTAAACAGACAGACAGAGAAGGGACCACACAGAATGAACCTCTCTGTAAGCTGTGGCCTTTGGTTGACAGCAGTGCACCAACAGCGGCTCACTGATGGCAACAGATGTGCCAGACCAATGCCAGACGTTGATGGAAGGGGAAAGTGGGGGTGGGGTGGGGGTATATCCATACGGTCTGCTGACATATTCTATACCGAAAGTGTACGAAAAATAAAGTCGAGGGTGGGCATTGGCCTAGCAGTGAAGACGCCTGCATCCCAGCCTGGCGTGCTGGGGTTCGAGTCCCGGCTGCAGCTCCACTCCTGGCAGGTGGCAAGTGGTGGGTTGAGGCTGGGGCGCTGCCACCCACTGGGAGGCCAGGACTGAGTTTCCTGCTCGAGCTTCAGCTGGGCCCAGGCCCGCCCATTGCAGACATTGGAGGGGTGACCGATCTCTCTCTCCTCTCCCTGCCCCTGCCCCACTGTCGGTCCATCTCTGTCTCCCTCTAATAAAAAATAAGAATAAAAATTATTTTTATTTATTTGAAAGCATTACAGAGGGAGAGAGAGAGAGAGAGAAAGAGTGAGAGAGATCTTCCATCTGCTGGTTCACTCCCCAAATGGTTGCAATGGCTGGGGCTGTGCCAGGCTGAAGCCAGGAGCTTCCTCTGGGTCTCCCATGCAGGTGCAGGGTCCCAAGCACTTGGGCCATCCTCTGCTGCTTTCCCAGGCCTTAGCAGAGAGCTGGATTGGAAGTGGAGCAGCCGGGACTCAAACTGGCGCCCATACGGCCTGCTGGTGCCGAAGGTGGTGCCTTTATCCTGCATGGCACAGCTCTGGCCCCAGGCCATTTATTTATTTTTTTATTTTTTATTTTTTATTTTATTTTTTTAAAATATGGAATGCTTCACGAATTTGTGTGTCATCCTTGCGCAGGGGCCATGCTAATCTTCTCTGTATCGTTCCAATTTTAGTATATGTGCTGCCGAAGCGAGCACCAGGCCATTTATTTTTGAAAGCCATCTGGATAATTTTCTGAGCCAGGACTCTAAGCCAATTTCCATATGGACACCATGGATTATTGATAAGGTTTGAATATGCAGATAAATTTTTCAGTATGTAGAGGGGCAGGTGGGCTTTGCTGTGTTTGGTCACTTTTTTTTTTTTTTTGAAAGGCAGAGTGGACAGTGAGAGAGAGAGAGACAGAGAGAAAGGTCCTCCTTTGCCGTTGGTTCACCCTCCAATGGCCGCCGCGGCCGGCGCACCGCGCTGATCCGAAGCCAGGAGCCAGGTGCCAGGTGCTTCTCCTGGTCTCCCATGGGGTGCAGGGCCCAAGCACCTGGGCCATCCTCCACTGCACTCCCGGGCCACAGCAGAGAGCTGGCCTGGAAGAGGGGCAACCGGGACAGAATCCGGCGCCCCGACCAGGACTAGAACCTGGGGTGCTGGCGCCGCAGGCGGAGGATTAGCCTAGTGAGCCGCGGCGCCGGCCTTGGTCACTTTTTTCCTTCTCGACTTGCACCAGAGCTGCTCCCTGCATTGCCCCGAATCCCGTCCCGCCAGCCGAGCAGAGTTCCCGAAGGGGCTGATGTGAGCACGACATTGGACGCGGCTTCATGAACAGAGGCCACGCATCCCACTTCTGCACGTGCCTAAGCATGGCCATGTCCGAATGCTTCTTATTTCATTACCAAAAATGTTCAGACTTTTTCAAAAGATTGGCTGTTGGTTTGAAAGACAGAATTACAGAGACAGGGAAAGACAGAGAGATCTTCCATCTGCTGGTTCACTCTCAGATGGTTGCAATAGCCTGGGCGGGGCCAGGCCAAAGCCAGGAGCCTGGAACTCCATCCAGGCCTCCCACACGGGTGCAGGGGCCTAAGTATATGGGCCGTCTTCTGCTGCCTTCCCACGTGCAATACCAGGGAGCCGGATCAGATCCAGTGCAGCCAAGACTTGAACTGGTGCTCACATGAGATGCCGGCATGGCAGGCAGAGGCTTAACCCACTGCCCCACAATGCCAGCATCCACAGACATTTTATGTTATGAACAAACAATTCATGAATCTCAGAAATATTTGCACTGAAATAAACTTGCCCTTTTAGAAAGACTTATTTATTTGTTTGAAAGGTGGCGTGACAAAGAAAGAGTTAACATCCGCTGGTTCACTTCCCCAAATGGCCTCAATGACCAGGGCTGGGCCAGGATGAAGCCAGGAGCCAGAAACTCCATCCTGGTCTCCTACTTGGGTGGCAGGCGCTTAAACACTTGGACCATCATCCACTGCCTTCCCAGGCACACGCGCAGGGAGCGGATTTGGAGGCAGAGCATCGGAGACTAGAAGACTCTGCTACGGGATGCTGGTGTTGCAGGCAGTGGCTTAGCCCCCGTGCCACGCTGGCTGGAAACTTATCTTTTATAATTCCATTTTTCCAGGAACTTTTGCAAGTCCTGTTGTGTTTATCCTGTGCCGCACACTCAGGCCATCACGTTGACGGTAAAACTTGCCATGTGTATGTAGGTTTTGTGGTACAGGGATTTCGCTGCTGGACAGCAACACAGTCTTTGCAGTGAGCAGGATGGCCACGCCTGATGGAGCGGAGAACCCTTTGAAATAGAACCCAAAGGCCCTCCTCGGCCCTCCGGCCCATCCCACCCTGCCCTTCTCTGTGCAGGCTCCCGCGCCACCAGCCGAAGCCACCTCTGTGCTACTGTCCCAGCCGCGGGACAGCCTCACCTCTTCCTCAAATGTCCCCACCCTCTCCGCTCAGCGCCTCAACAGCCACACTGCACCCCGAACCTTCCCTCTTCCCTGCTCAGCTCGTGCCACGCTGTGCCCGGTCAGCTGGCCCACTTACTCCGTCCCCTCGGAGGAGCCCATGTTTAATCCTTCTGGGGGGAAAAAGCTTCTATTGCTATCAAAAACAGGAGGCTGGTATGAATAGTCTTTTTACAAAAGATTTATTTTTTATTTACTTGAAAGGCAGAATTACAGCGAAAGAAGGAAGGAGAGAGAGCGCTCTTCTACCTACTCCCCAAGTGGCCCCCACAGCGAGGAGCGGCCAGGAGCGTCATCCGGGTCTCCCACGTGGGTGCAGGGGCCCAAGCACTTGGGCCGTCTTCTGCTGCTTTCCCAGGCCCCTTAGCAGGGGGCTGGATCAGAAGTGGGGCAGCCGGAACTCAAGCTGGTGACCGTATGAGATGGGGTGGGGCTGCTGGTGGCAGAGGCTTAACCTTAAATATAAACTGCAAACACAGATCAAAAGAGAAAGCTGTTAACCTACATTTAGATAACATTGTCAGCAGACACCCTGAGGCCAGAGGAAGGTTAAGAGGTGTTGGGGATGCCTTAGCCTCCAGGACAGTTTCCGCTTTGATACATTCCCAGGGCTGGAAAGAAAACGGGAAAAGGTGTAACTTTGTGTGTGTGATTCCACCCTGTCCCTGCTCTCCCTAAAGTCACCTGCTTGTCACCGCAGGCAGTGGGGCCGGATGCGGCTGTCACCCCACACACAGGCCCGGCACAGTGGCTGGAGAGGCCTCCATAGCTGGGGGCTATGAAATCTCATTAGGGGCTGGCATCTTGCCCCCCCTCCCCAGCTGCTCCACTTCCAATCCCTGCTGTGGCCTGGGAAAGCAGCAGAGGACGGCCCAAGTGCTTGGGGCCCTGCATCCGCGTGGGAGACCCAGAGGCAGCTCCCGGCTGTTGTGGGCGTTTGGGAAGTGAACCAGTGGATGGAAGACCTCTCTCTCCTCCTCTTCCTCCTCCTCTCTGCAACTCTGCCTTTCCAATAAATAACTCTTTTTAAACACTTTATTCTTTATGAAAGTAAGTTGTGGTTTTACACCTGCATCCCTGAGAATCACGCGCATTCATTCAGAAAATCTGAAAGTCGGAGCAAACTCAGAATTACCGGCTCACAGCCTTTCAAAGCCTTCGACATCCTAATGCACTTGGTAGGATGTCACTGCGCTCGCTCAAAGTCTGGGTGACTTGTGTTTGCTTTTAAGCACCCACAGCCACTGGGCTCACCCCCGGGGTCCCTCTGGATGCAGCCCGGCCTCACCTCCACCGAGAAGGCCTCCTGGATGCCCCGGGGGAGCTCGCGCTTCACAAGGGGTCGGCTGCGCGACCGGCTACCCGAACGGTCGGCCTGGCCTCCCGCTTCCCCCTCCCCGCCCCGGCCCTCTCCAGGGCCTGCCAGGGAGCCAGACCGGCGCCGCCCGCCTGAGGCTGCACCTGCTCCCGGGCGCGCCCGGCTCAGATTACGCCGGGGCTGGGAGGGCCTCTTCCCGGGGCTCCGACGTTAGGGGGCACCAGACCAGCACGGCTCCGGCCCCACCGGGGAGTGGGCGAGCGGGCAGAGAGGGCAGAGGGACCGCTGCAGAGCTCCGATCTGGGGAGCGCCCCGCCAGCCACGAGGGTGACCACGGCGGTGACCTCCGCGGCGGCCGCCTTCCAGCCAAGGGGAGCCGGCGGGGTCCGGAGACCCTGAGGTTGGACCAGATCGGACCCCGGAGCCCGCAGCCAGCGCGGAGCTGGGGGTGGGGGGTGGGGGGCGAGGAGGGGTGCGGCTCTCAGTCCCCGCCCCGGGGCGGAGCCAAGGCCGGATCTTGCGGAGAGCTTAGCCCGCGGGAGCCCGCCGGGCTCGCAGCCCGTTCCCGCCCGCAGGCGGGCGCATGTGCAGGAGCAGCTTCCCCCAGCCCGCCCCGGTCCCGGCGGGTTCCGCTGCGGCCGCCATGGCGCGAGGAGACGCCCCGCGGGACAGGTGAGCTGGGGACCAGGTGGGCTGCGTTCCGGGCCCAGGTAGCCGTGCGCAGCGCCAGCCGCTCCCCGGGCTGCCGAGACCGGGTTGAACTACAATTCCCAGCAGCCGACTCCCGGGGCCGCCCGAGCCGGGGACGTGAGCGCTGTGGTCCGCTCGCTGGCGCGGGAGGCCCGGGCGGCCGGGGCGCGCGTCCTCGGGGTGACCTTCTCGCCGACGTCCGCAGCTACCACCTGGTCGGGATCAGCTTCTTTATCCTGGGGCTGGGCACCCTCCTTCCCTGGAACTTCTTCATCACCGCCATCCCGGTGAGACACGCGGCCAACTCCGTGCATGCCTGGGACCGGGGCTTAGCAGGCGCGTCCCCTGGGCTCGGCGGAAGCGCGGAGCGTCCGACGGCCAGGAAAGCCAAACTTTCCCAAATGCCCCGGTCTCAGGGGGCCCCGGGGGTCTGTGACCAGCAAAGGAGCTGCCCACCACCTCCTCTGTGCGGACCCCGTCCCCGGCCGCTCACTCCTAGACTGGGCCACGAATCAGATTCGTTCATTTCTCGCACATTTAATGGGCACCCACTGTGAATACAGCGCAAACAGGGAGGCTGCCCCTTGGGGTGGGGTTGCTCCTTTCGCTTGTGTGCAGCTCCGTTGCAGGGGTCCCTGGAGGACCTGGCTCTGCTGGCCCTGAGACCTCGTGATAATCAGCCCTGGGCTTGAGCTAGGCAGGGACCTGGGGCTATTAATACCGTAACACGACGTGTGCATTCCCAGCCTGGAGCAGTTCTCCGGGGCCCCAGGGGACGCATTTGCAGGCTGGGAGTAGTGTAGGCGGAGTGGGGGTGGGGTGGGGGTGGACAGGAGGGAAGAGGACACTCCAGGGGAGGTGGCAGCTGGGCAGGAGCAGCGAGGCAGGTGAGGTCCAGAGCCTGACACGCTGGCACTTGGCAGGGTGGAGCAGCTGGGATCGGACGCTGAAGGGGAGGGGTGATCTGGAGCGAGCCCTGAGCCGGCGGCTCCCAGGCTTGCCCTGTGTCCCAAAGTTGAGCTCAGCGCATCTCCTTGGAGCTCCGGCTGTGGGCCAGGTGCTGGGGACCGTGCAAGGGCAGGGCCAGCAGGCCCCACAGACACGAGCCAGGCAGTCACAACGTTGGGGAGAGCTGGGGGAGGCTGGGGGGAGGGGGTTCCTGACCCTGCTCTGCCTCTGTCTCCGGCAGTACTTCCAGGGGCGGCTGGCGGGGGCCAACGGCACAGCCGGGGCCCTGAGCACCAACCACACGGGCCCCACAGACGCCTTCAACTTCAACAACTGGGTGACACTGCTGTCACAGCTGCCTCTGCTGCTCTTCACCCTCCTCAACTCCTTCCTGTACCAGTGGTGAGACCCGCCCCCACCCG